CTGGACGCTGCATCAGGGGCAGACTGGGACTAACGGCGTCACGACCCTCTGCCCTGTCGAAACCCTCTTGGCAAGGGTCGACTCGGTCGCGTCATCAAGCAGTGAAAAGAAGAACTCCTCGCGAGTGTGTCTCCATTACATTTTGGGGGTTATGAGCCAGGCGTGCATGCACGCTGGTTGATATGGAAAGTGGGGAGGACGCCGCCCAGAAAGACACCAATTTTTATTGTCCATCGGCAGTATCGACAGTAGAGTACGAAGTGACAAACCGCAATTGTTTTACATTTTACCCCTACCGCATGTGCGGCGCTATTTTTGTATTGAGTTATTACAATGAAATGAGCTTCGAGACCCTGTCCCTGTCCAGGGATCGCCATTCGCTGTCTCAGAGCTCCCTTATGCCGATTAACATACAAATGTCTTTTAGACACCTCCCTTTTGTCTGAAGTTCTATTACATTTTTAGCCTTGAGTGCTGCAGCGGTGCGTCACCAGAAAAAAATACATATCGCATTTTGTCGTAATGCTTTTCATCGCAGGCATAACTTCGTGTGTGTTGCAGTTCTCTGTGCTCAAAACTTCGTAAGAAACCCCAAAAATTGTACCCAAGTTATTGTCCGCGTATTGCTATCCGCCAAACTTGCATATAGAACATGTTCGCATCGCACTTCTTCGATGCGCAATTCTTCATAACACATTTCTCCGTCCATGCAATTTTTCGTAACACATTCCTTTGCGTACGCGATTCTTCACATCACCTTTCCGTATCACCTTTTTTAGCGTAGGCATTGCTTGACATGAAAACATGTTGCTGAAAGACCGAATCAGTAGCATTTCCTGGTTATTCCCCTTGTTCCACTGCTTGCTCCCCATTGTCATTTTCTTTTCCCTTTCCTTAATTATAAGACGCGTCCTGAACAACGCATCTCATGATTGTCTGTCTCTCCGCCAAACCGTATGTTGCTGATGAACGCGATGATTCTCATGATGACGGCATGATGCTGGTCACTTTACTCCGTCCATAAAACGCAGCAAAGCGAGCGATCGGACCAACGTGTCACCTACGTTTAAGCTCGCGTCCCAGAAACCGCGAGCGCCCAATATCTGGCTGCTACATCTATGATTAGCTGGGGTCGTTCCCAATTATAAAAGGCAGCGTTATAAAGAACTCCACGATTTCTGCCCGAGTCAAGGCAAAAATGTCGAAACCATGGCCCTAAGCGTCATGAATCCGGTCGTTTGTACCATTTGTTGTTGGATATCTGTGTGTTTCTGAGTCATGTATGCGCTATATATTCACGGTGCCATCAGTTTTCATTCGCACACGTTGACGTCTTGGCTTGCGTTTTAAAGGAAGGTTGGCACAATTCGGACGTTAGCTGTTGGTCGGCGCTCTGCATAGGTTTCCACCGATCAGATTCATTAGTGGTCAGTCATACGTCTTGCACTTTAAGCTCTTACTTAGCCTCCTTCCCCAATATTGCAATGGGAGGGGAGGAGCTCTCTCATGAAGCGAACCCGGCGCCAACCTTACAAGCTGCGTTCAGGACAGACAGACGTTTGTTTGGTAAACTGCGCCAGTGTGCAGCGCTTTAGGCCGTCTGCCCTGTTTGCACAACTGGTCTGCCAAAGCGGACCGTCCTGTGCCTCGACGTTTTGAAATAACAAGCGAGAATCATCAGTACGGTCACTCAACAAAATATTCGGTCTTACTGCATTATGGGAGGATTTGACATCACCGACATTAGTGTGTTCTCGCGCAGGCTGAGTGCGTGAGCTATTTTTCAGACATAGACATGTTGATAAGCAGCTGAGCAGAGCTTTCGACATCTTCAGTCGAAAGTCCCAGCGACTGTTTATGTGTTGCACATGTTTAGTAAGTCATGCACCTTGTTCACAGCAAAAATCATTTGGCTCGGTTAGAAGAAGAAGAAAAAGATTGGTAAGGCTCATGCAGTACTTGTATGCATCACGACCATGACCTTAGTGACCCTGTGCTAGCTATAGAAGGTGTGATAACATTAAATATGTTCGATAAGGTATGTTCGACTACCCATCCTTTGCTGAAAGTTTTGTACTTCTTCACTTTTGTTCCACAATAAGTCCGAAATGACCACGACTACAAAAATATATTTGCTGTGCACCTAAAAGATAAAAACCCGTGGTTAGAGTTTGGGCTGTGGTAACCGTAAGTCACGCAAAGATGGCGTGATAAGATTAACCGGAAGAAGCAACCTATTGCAGCTTGCCGGCCTGCTTAATACCTACATACGATTCAAAAGCTGTGGTTGGCATATAAGATAGCATTTGCTCACAACGGTTTAATTGGTCAACTCATCCCACGTGGCAACACGGTGGCACCTTCACCAGTCCTCTGTTAACCAAATGGACTAAAGATTTTTTATGTCTCTGCTCGCTACATTGGGACTTCGTTCTGTTAATATAACCCATCTTAAGACCAAAGTAGTCATGCATTACGTTAAAATGTCGCTTTACAGGGAAACTCTGAAAGCGTTCCTTAGCTTCAGTGTCTGTGTTGCGTTCACGCATGATGCGCTGGAACTGCATCTTGCCTTTTAGTCACATTGCGTGACGTGGGCTTATGATAGGAATTCCAGCTGCAGTTGATCACAGGTCGTGCTATGTTATGTGCAAATCGTCGACAACACATTTTAATCGTCGGGCAGTGCCTGAATGATCATTAGATACAGCTTTCCTAAACTGGTCCCCCCCAAATACGTCTGCGTTGTATTGGGTGTGCTGATTGGGAATAACCTTAGAGGTGAATATGTCACACGACAGATCTTTAAAGATGGATAATGTATTGAAATGCTTTCCACACCTATGATTCCCACACTACGTGGCAACGCCGAAGTGACATGGCGCAGGTGAATTGAAGCATGTAGTCGTACAAATGTTTCAATGTGGTCTGACCTTCAGTGGCACTGTGTCCATAGATGTGTTCGCGTGTACGGTATAACATAATTCATGTCTAACTCATTTCAGCTTTAGTAAGTCGCATGGCTGAGATGATTAAATGGATGTCCGACCCAGAAAAAAGCTTCCAAAGATCGCGACTTGCGACATGGTCTGTGGTGTCATCAATGGCTTGCAGGTTACAACTAAGCGGCATCTGCTGGACGTGTGCGAGTTAGAGACCTCTACCTTTGGACAATTGATACAACCAGACGGCTGATTGGTTCCAAAATAATCAACGGTAGCGGCGTTTAGTCCCCTTCCCGACTGAAAGGGGAAGCAGGGAAAGAGAACCCTAGCACACAGCGGGTTATGCGCATTTGAATGCGATCCACACGCCATACATTCCGTTACCAAAGCGCTGTTACAATGACCGGTCACTCAGGTGTAGATAATCCATCATTCAGGCTTGCGCTGCATTGTGCTCTTTATTTATATGGAACGTCTATTATGTCTCCTATTAAAGCACACGTTGGGCACGTTGTGCACGTTGCAAAGCAGGCTACCTCTCCATAGCACGCTGGCTGTACACGGGCCAGTCCACCTGCTGCCTCCTCATACAGCGTGCTGTACACGGGCCAGTCCGCTGCGTCAGCACGCTGGCTGCATTTGGGTCGGTCCACCGCGTCAGGACGCTGGCTGTATTTGGGTCAATTCGTCGCATCAGCACGCTGACTGTATCTGGGTCGGTCCCCCGCGTCAGCACGCTGGCTGTATTTGGGTCAATTCGTCGCGTCAGCACGCTGGCTGTATTTGGGTCGGTCCCCCGCGTCAGCACGCTGGCTGTGTTTGGGTCAGTCCGCCGCGTCAGCACGCTGGCTGTATTTGGCTCAGTCCCCCGCGTCAGCACGCTGGCTGTATTTGGGTCAATTCGTCGCGTCAGCACGCTGGCTGTATTTGGGTCAGTCCCCCGCGTCAGCACGCTGGCTGTATTTGGGCCAGTACCTCGCGTCAGCGCATATACGGCTTTGATCCATATCTAACTTCAACCAAATCCTAAAAAATCATACCCTCATTCCTACATGTAGACTGACGTAAACTAATATATTGCAATGTAAATCCACACGCCCACACCCACACACAAACACACCCACACCCACACCCACACCCACACACACCCACACACACACACACACACACACACACACACACACACACACATACACACACACACACATATATATATATATATATATATATATATATATATATATATATATATATATATAACTAAGCACTGTAATGTATGCAAAATCACAAGCATTATTCTTCATAACCTGCTGTGCGTTGGCTGGCGCAGAGAATAGCATTTGTTGTTGCGCACGAAATTTGAATTGTACATTTATATAAACGATAAATACGGCTTATGTTCACCCTGCTGCACGCACGCAATGTTCCACATTTGCTGCTGTGAATTACCTGGAGTAGTGCACAACAGCTCTCGTGGCAATAAAGCCCTGATCAATCGCGAATGTAGTGTCAGGACATCACTATTACGACATTCAACTTTCCAGCGAAAGATTCAGATGCATTTATGGCAAGCAGCTCATTGTTAAGGCTCCAAAATACGGCACATGGTAGGTTATGGTTGCGCCGCTCGACTCTGAAATGGATTGACATTTGGATCATTTCAGGCTTATATTTTTACGACGTCACTCATTCCAAATGAGAGTCACGTTTTTGCACTGTGCAAACGTTTCTGGAGAGGAAGTCGGCCGAACCGCGTTCTGAAGGAAATGTTTCCATGCTGCACCATCAGATTCATATTTACCTCCGACAAAAAGAGAGTTCACGCGCTGCCAATAGTTTCACCCGGCCTATTTGGCTTCCGTGTGGAGCGATCACGCCGCTCCACGCCTTGGGCGTGCGGAGGCAGCTAACTGACCTGCGGCGGACACCTGCTGGGGCTCGGGCTGCCGCTCGCCGTCCAGGAAGCGGCGCAGCACGGCCGCGCAGAGGGCGCCGTAACCCAGCTGGAGCCCGGCCGGCGCCAGGTGCAGCAGCGCCGCGCCGACCATCACGCACCAGCCCCAGCCGCCCTCGGGGTAGTAGTGCGTGTGCATGCCCTGCACCGTCTGGTCGGGCAGGTGGTGCAGCGGCGGCAGGGTGCCGCCAGCGGCCGCCGGCATCGACATGGACCGGCCGTGGGTGTCGGCGGTCGTACTCAGCCGGGCGGCGCTCAGCGCTACTGTCTGGGAGCGCAGGAGGGGCGGCCGGCGCGCCGGCCCTGCCGGCCTCAGCACCGCTCCGGAGCGCTGGAGGTCCACCTTCAGCTCCATGGTGTGCTGAGGGCTCCGCCAGCTCGGCCGCCGTTCGCCCCGCTCTTGAGAGACACCACGGCCCGGGCTGCACTTGATCGGGCGCGGACTTGGTGCAGGGCTGGAGAGACGTCTCCGGCGGGCAGCGGGCCGGCAGGGGGCGCCAGGGGACCGGTGACCTCCACCGGGACCGCCGCCCTCGTCTGGTGGGCAGAGAGCGCCGCTCGGAGGCCGCTGCCGGCCCGGGCCATCGGCCAGCTCGGCAGCGCAGGTTCCCTCGCAGGGGCCACCGCACGCCGGGGCACAGCCCGCCTCCTCGTCAGCCAGGTCCAGCGCGTCGGCCCTCGCTAGGCCGGGCCGGTGAGGTACGCCAGCTCTCATCTTTAGCGTGACGTCAGGGGCCTTCCGTGACAGCATTAGGCGATGCTGCGTGTATCAAATGCTTGCTCACCGAACCTCGGGACGTCCTGCAAACCCGCTGGCTGTTCACCGACCCTCGGGACGTCCTGCCGAAACCATGCCTGCTGTTCCCGACCCTCGGGACGTCCTGCAAAACCGACTGCTTTTCACCGACCCTCGGGGACGTCTGCAGAAACCATGCTGCTGTCACCGACCCTCGGGACGTCCTGCAGAAACCCAGCTGCTGTTCACCGACCCTCGGGACGTCCTGCAGAGGCCGGCTTTCTGACAGACCACTGGGATGGTCGAGCACTTTTCGCTTTCGGCATACGAACTCGCCCTTCCAGAAGCTGCCAGTGCTGCACGCTTCACGGTGGGACCTATTCCACGGGCGTCCTCGGCATGTTAGCACCATCAGCACACTGTCAGCACGTCCCCGGATGACCTGAACAACTCAGCCCCTGCATCGCACCGTCAGCCCTTCCAGAGAAGACGTCAGTGAAGCAGCTCCCGGCACACACTGTGATCTTCCACGCATAACCTCAGCACATCGATTCCTGCGACACACTGCGAGCCCCGCTCCAGACGAGACAGCAGGCCTGCGCCCGCACGCCGCGCTCCCGCGTTGGTCGGAGCCGGGGGCGAAGGGCGTGAATCCGGCTATCAGTCCGTGCTCCTCCGACCAGCGCAGCCTCTATCCGGCGTGCCCTGCCGAGCCCAATCACAACAGCAGTCGGCAATAACCGCGTAATGGCCGCCGACCCTTCCTCGGCCCCCTCTGGATAACACGGGCGTTTGTATTTGTTATCGATCGTGTCCGTTCTTGCCTTCTCGCGCCACGACGCGAGTGGGGCCCGGCAGAGAACGCACCCACCGGTGTCGTTCGTCACTTTGGAGGAAGTGTGCGCCACGCGGGTCGACGGCGAGGACCCCTGTCTCACCTGGACTCCGACGTGCAGATACTTTGAAGTACAGCGGCGCCTGCATACGCGCACAGAACTCGGACGAAATTTGAGATCATCACGGATCATTGAGATTGAGCATCACGCCGTGGTCGTATCCCGTTCAGTCTTAAGCTTTGAGAACGCTGTTTGTCGACGTCTGGAGGGTGGAGTGTAGACACTGTGTACGTTGTGGAAATGCTCACTCGACGTGCCTTTTAATTTATCGAAGTCAAGACTTCTGAATGGTCGGCCAATCGTTTGCTTCTGCCCAGCGACAGGGTCTTCGTTCTCAAGAGCGAGCGTTCATGTGCTTCAGAGTCAAGTCAAGACCTAGAAGATGTGACGGACTGTGACGCCAGGGACCTAGAAGTCGTGACGGACTCGGATCAGAGTGGCCGCAATGCGCGGCACCGTCGGTCTTGCCGGAGCGGGAGAGTGCGCTGAGTTAGTTGATGGATAGGGTCGATGTCAACAGGTCAGCGATGCCAGAGCTGTTTGAAGAGGACGGGCTGATTCGATAAGCGGCTGCAGAATGAGAACACTGCGACCGAGGTAGCGCTGACAATGCTCAGGGCGCTGTCCGGCGGTCTCCGTGCGGCCGCCGGGCGTGCTGGACCACCGCGGCGGGCCCTTGCCGTAAACAAACAATCAGCGTCCTGTACACACCTGTCAGCGCCGGCTAACGGCGGCGCGGCGGGGAGGAGTCGGCGGCAGCGAGAGCATCCGCTCCGTCCTGCCGACCTCCTCTGTCACTGACGGCCGCGCCGGCGGCCGAGGTCGCGCTGGTCTGCGCTGGCCGGCCGCCGGTCCGCGCGACGGCGTCTCAGCACTGACCTGCGACGGGCCGCACCTGAGCGACCTGACCTGCAGCGCCGAGGGCGACCGACTGACACTCGGCCGCTGACTCGCCGCCGCTGACGGCGGGGCTCCTGGCGACAGGGGCTGTTTGCCGGCCCGACCGCACGCTGTGGCCTGGTACACAGGTCAGCCATTACCGGCCGGCGTCGCTCCCAGAGTCGGCAGGAACAGCCTGATGAAACCGAGCCTCCATGCGGCGGGCGCCGGCCGACCGGCTTACTGGAGCCACCAGAAGTGAGATGACAGGCGCACATGCGTGTGAACTATGGACTCTTATCCACAACCTGATGTCCATTAACCATTAAATGATGAATTTAAAACAACATACGGAAAAGCCAGTCGGCAACTCAATAGGCAATATTGAACGAGAGGCATTTTAACCGTTTGGTTTCAAAAAGTCTTGGCGATACCTAACTTTATCGATATTTCTTTCTCCGCACGTTGCTCTCATAGCACTTGCATCACTTCTTCCCGGCCCCGGTCAGAAATGCGCCACCTGACGCACTTCGCTGCGGCTGCGACCACGGCGACTTCGGCACTGCCGGCGCGCGGATGCCGCCGCGGCCCGGATGCGGTCACTTCCGGTCTGCGCTGGCCCTGACTTGTGGCCCGGCCCTGTGGCAGGTCGTCCCGCCAGCCGCCCGAGACGCTAACGGACGCCATAGATCGGCGGGGCCGGCGGAGCAGCCGAGTTACGCCCGGCCTGCACACGGCTGAGAGATGTTTATTGACGAGCGGCGCCCGGCCCGGGCGGCCAGATTTGTGGGGCGGGGCCGAGAGGCGGCCGGGCGGACAGCCTCCGTCGACACAGACGATCTGACACACTGGCCCGAGACGGGGAAGGAGGGAGGGGCTGGGGAGGGGCGGAGACGGACCGAGGGGACCGGGACGGACCGAGGACGACAGCAGTGACTGCAGGCTGACTGTAGACGGGGGGGGGGGGGGGAGGGAGGGGCTGAGGAGGGGCAGAGGCAGACCGAGGGAACCGGGACGGACCGAGGACGTCAGCAGTGACTGGAGGCTGGCTGTAGACAGTGACTGCAGGCTGGCTGTAGACGGGGAGGGAGGGAGGGGCAGAGGCGGACCGAGGGGACCGGGACGGACCGAGGACGGCAGCAGTGACTGGAGGATGGCTGTAGAGCAGCTGAAGGGACTGAGGACACAGCCTGGGCGAGGGACACGGAGGGGACACGTGTCGAGTGAAGGAACTTGTGAGCTGATAACAGACAATTAAGATTCAGCTTTAGTCAAGTCAAGTTTCATGTCAGCTTCAGGATCAGATAGAGCTGAGGACGACTCCATACATGCTAGCTTTGCTTTTTGGGTTGTTTGCTTTAGGTATTTCATGAAGTAGCCAACATTCGTAAAGAAATGTTTCACGTTTGAAGATATTAAGACAAACATCAAATGCGATAAAATCAACTCACTTACAACTATTGATATGCCTTCAAGTGCAAAAGACTGCTCTAGACAACAACACTTCGCTGCTCAGTGAATAAGATCCTCGCTGCTTCACAGTTTGATTACGTCATAGACCGTTTGTACTACGTCGGAGTCAATGCCAGATGGCTGTACCAGAGTTGCCACTGCAGCAGACGGGCTGACTCACTTGTAGTAATTCAACCTACCCATAAGTGGCACGCGTGCTGGTGCGTGTTTCCGAAACCCGACTTTCGTGATGTGAGCGTGTATTGGCCCTTTTTCGTGTTGTTCTTGCATATTTTTTCATTATTTTGCGTTGTTTACTCGCATTCGCATGCCTCATTGTGGTGCTATTCTTAGCTCATTTTACTCCATGTCTTACCTCTGCCATAACTCGTACCATCGCCCGATTTCCTGTATTATGTAGCACAAAGCGTGCTTCGTGTTCAAACTTGTACTCAATATATCAAACTGACCGAGAACAACTGATGGCCATCGATGCCATTGTCGTGCTGACGTACGTCAGACAGCAGTAATTCGGCGATCGTATTTTTGTCTTGGCCTCGAGGCTTGAGCACTGCACGGCCACTGAGATGGCAGCATTTGCGTAACGTTTTTATGGTGTCGTGAATGTCTGGGTGACCTCGAAATAGTCTGCAACAAATAGTCTACGCAAGTTTTTTGGCGTTAAGCTGCTAAAAAAACAGGGGATATTCTTAAATCTTTAAAAGTTCATGACTGTGAAGTGCAGTGGATGATCTTTGATGGTTCTCTCAGTTCAAAACCCACTCAATTTCCTGTGGAACACGTCGCTGAAATCGATCGAGCCAGTGCGAATCGCTTGTAGTCAGCCCAGCGGCATGATTTTCCCTAAATTGTTTCGGAATGAGCGGGTTACACCGGATCCTGCGATCCTAAAAATCCCAAGCTGGAGGCTGGAGCCGAGTAGAAGGCGACACCGGGCAACACTTAGCAAACTGCACCAGACTAGGGCCTCAAGCATTATGAAACACCAGTACAAGTAACTTGCGATAAGGTAAATCAGGGCTTAGTTTCATAAAACAGGAATACGAATACACGCACTTGATGTGGTCGCATGGACTCAAAGCAAAAATAACTTAGTATAATCTGCAAGTCTTTATTAGCAATGGCTTAAGGATCGAGAGACTAAGTGAACTTGGGTTGCTTTTGGCTCTTATGCGTACACGAGCATGCGTCTGCTTTAGGCTCTTATGCTTACACGACACAGCTAAGAATTGCGTAAGCTTGTTGTTTCACTTATCAAATTAGGCCCAGGATAACGAGATAGAATTAGCTAATTTAGGTCCTTTTCTATCTCCAGAGATATAGTCGCCAGGAAATGAGCGGAAGAAAGTGGCGTTGTCTAATGGTTGTCAA